CCTTTGGCGCAATTCTCATCCCGGTTGGCAGAGGGTGCTGTTGGATCACCGGAGGAGCAGTCGCAGGGATACGCGGGGTCAGCACCCCGGGAGCCCAGCACTCCGCAGCCCAACAGCCCGTGGCTGTGCTGTGTGCCTGCTCTCCCAGCCACGCTGCCCTCCCATCCCGCACTGACCCCCAGGAACATCGGGGGCAGCTGCAAGGCAAAGAGAGGATGGTTAGGGGAGAAATTCCGAGCTTTCCTTGGGGTCTCCCCAGGGTAGGGACAGCAATGGAGCCACGCATGGAGTACAGGGACTTATTTGTGGGATGCTGTGAACTTCCCACCCTTCAATATGCCTTGGGATGGATTTTGAGCCTGTGGGCACTTCTGTCTGGGATGAACTGAGGGCACTGCCAGCATGGCATGGAGAGGTGACATCTCCTAGTGCCTGAGCAAGAGTCCAGCATCATCTTAATCTCTTAACCTCCTCCACTTCCAGAGACCCCAGTGATTGCTCAGAGGTGCCAGAAACTGAGCCCACCTGTAACACTGGTGTCTGATCTGATGGATATCAGTAGCACATTCCCTGCTTCCCACTCCCATCTCAAAGCTCGCGTGGGTCCGTTCCCGTGTCACACGTGCAATCCTGCTTTCTCTTTCCTTATCCTGCTGCAGCCTGAACAGCACAGGGCATCCCTGCCCCCAGGGAGTGCAGCTACTGGGCAGAGCAGGCTGGGGCAGGATTCCCAAGGGGAAAGGCACTGGCTGCCTCCCACAGCTCTCCCACGGCTGGCTGGGACTGTAGGAGGGCAGTGCAGAAGAGCCCTGTCACCTCCTCCCACCCCAACCCTCCTCTCACCTGCTGATTGATGGGAATCAAGTCTTTATCCAAAGAGACAACTCGAAACTTCACCGGAAAAGGGAAACAGAGATGGAGGAGTGAGTTCATCCTCAGGGAGGATGGAAATCCCCCCAAGCCCTGCAGTGCCCTCAACAGCACTACCAGGGTGTCCTAGCATTGCCCTCTGTCAGTGCTGGGCATTCCAGTGCATCCCAGGATGAGCCCTCCTATTCCCACGCAGTGTAGGAGCAAGGCTGGGCCTCCTGCAGCCCTCTCCCACCAGGTCCTTCAGCCCAGAGCAGGGTGGTGCATCTTGCCCCCATCACCTCACTGGCCAGGCTTGTAGACAGGTTTATCTGTCTATATGAAGATCCCAGGGTCCAGTGTTTTCAACTTCACCTCCTTCTTCTCAGACACCTTCAGGGAATCTCCTTGGATTGAGATGTGCAGGTCTAGGTTTTCTTCCTTCCCACTGACAGGTTCTGGAGCCTGCAGGGGGAAACATCAGGCTGCAGGTGAGGATGAGCCATGGCCAGGGTGCTCTGCTCACTCTGGGTGACCCTGAGCTCTCCTCACCCACAGGGACACCTTCCCTGAGCCAGGGGCTGGGAAGAAATGTCCCCCCAACACCCTGCTCTGGTCTGCAGGTCTCCTACCAGGGGATTATTTTAGCCACTGGATAACTGGGCTGAGCCTGGAGTAGTTCTGTCTGCATGAGGGATGAGACTGCCAAAAAATGGGGAAGTCACATCTGCTCCCAGCCCTGTGTAGGATCACAGCCCCAGCTCAGGGGAGCTGGTGAAAACTCCTGGAAACTGTCCAGGATATCCCCAGGACATCCCCTCCCTGCTCAGGGCTGTTTTGGGGTGACACTCACAGCGAAGGTGAAGTTCAGGTGCATCTGAGGCTGCTGGACCTCCCTCTTCAGCAGGTGATGGGGTGGGTTCTGTGCACTCCCAGCAGCTCGATGGTCACCTGGACCCAGAGCATGGCTGGGCTGGGGTGGTACATCACAGCTGGGGCTGTGACCACAAACCTCCTGGCAAGGAGAAGTGATGACAAGAGGGGTGTGGGGGTGAGACAGAACCCAGCACAGACCCCATGGAGACCTCAAAGAGCCCCTGGACACGCAGAAACCTGTGCTGGGGTGCAGCACCACCTCCCCCAGCCTCCCCACACTGCCTCTGGGCTCCCCTTGGCTTCCCAGCTCAAAGCAAAGGGCACCTGCAACAACCACCCCAGGGCCACCAGCCCAGCAGCCCCCAGTGCCACGTCCTTGATGCTCATGGGCAGGGACAGCCCGTCAGCCTGAGCGTTCCCACCCTGGCCAACGACCCCCAGCAAGGGAGTAGCTCCCTCCAGGAATTCCCAAGGAGCTGAGGCTAAAGCCATGCCAGCAGGCACAGACAGACAGACAGACACAGAGGGGGCTGCAGATGCCCCAGCCATGAGGTGCAGGATGAGGGAGAGGATGGGCAGGGCTGGAGACCTCATGCCTCCAGCTGGAAGTGGATGTCTAGGACGGCCACAGCCTCCTCCTGCAGGGCTTGGATCGCTCTGGACCTGTGTCTGCCCCTCTGCAGGCCCTGAAATGGGATCTTTGCTTCCCATCCAGTGAGCAAACAAGGACTGGCAGAGGGATCCACAGGCACCTGCAGATATAGCTCAGGCCACGTTTACCCACAGCTTCCTGGGTTCAAGGCTCTGCTGGATTTTTGCAATATTGGGAAAGGTTTCTACAACCTGCAGAGGTTCAAACCCTGGGGGCAGGACTCACCTGAACACTGCTGTGCTGGGAAATGGTGCCAGGGTGGAGTGGGAACAAATGGAACGAAAATAGGCAGCACATCATGATGACATTGTATTATATGAGTTTGTGTATTGTATTGTATGAGTTTATGGTGAATCCTCAGAAAGGGCAAGTTTACAGGTGTTTCAAACTTAACCAAACAGTAGCTGTTTGGGCTGATCACACATCTGAGGCTGGATTTTTGCCCCGTTTCCTCCGGTTTCATCAAATCTGGGTAGAGGAACAGGACAGTGTTGTGTTGTGGTGCTGACTCTGGCTGCTCTCGTTCCTCTTTGCACCACTCTTGGGAGCTGGACACCAGCCAGGGCAGGGGCTGAGCTCCTTCCTTCTGTCCTGGTGGGAATTCCAGAAAGTTAAGGCAGCTCCACAACAGCCACGTGGTGTTCAGAGCACATCCCCTGCTCTGCAGGGTTTCCTCCCTGCTTTGCAGTTCCCTTCCTTTTGGGGATGTGGGCAGAGGCAGTGCTGTGGGAATCATGGAATGGTTTGGGTTGGAAGGGACCTTAAAGCTCATCTTATTCCACCCCCTGCCTTGGGCAGGGGCACCTTCCATGAGACCAGGGTGCTCCAAGCCTTGTCCACCATGGCCTTGGACACTTCCAGGGATGGGGCAGCCACAGCTTCTCTGGACAAAACGTGCCATCACCCCACAGGAAGCCATGGAGGGGGTTGACCTCTTTCCATGGGATCTCAGATGACCACAGCTGCTGTCCCCATGCCTGCCCTGCTCAGGTATGGCTGGATACAGCCCTGTGCCCACCCCCCTGCCCTTTGGAGCAGCCCCACACAGTGTTGGTGTCTGGAGGAGGCTGGACCTGCCACCCCCAAGGGCAGGAGTTGGGAGCATGGCCCCAGGTCCACCCTGACCCCTCCCCGGGATGCAGCCATGGGTCAGTGCCCTGACAGGCACCCCAGGGGTGGTTCAACGTGGCCAGGAGCTCGTGGCTCCCCCAGCACTGCCAAGGCCACCACTGACCCAAGTGCCACATCCACACAGCTTCCAAATCCCTCCAGGGATGGGGACTCCACCACTGCCCTTGGCAGCTGTGCCAGGGCTGGACGACCAAGCAGCAGGGCAGGGTCACTGCAGACTCCATGTCTGGAGGGCCAGGGGAAGCAAGGTGCTCCCAGAGTCCCTGTGCTGAAGTGTCTTTCTCTCCCCAAGCTTTCACCTTCCACTGGCAGTGGCCAAGCCAGCAAGGTCTCTGCCTGGGACCTGGCTGTCCAGCTTGGACAATGCTTTGCCCAGAGAAGCTGTGGCTGCCCCTGGATCCCTGGAAGTGTCCAGGGCCAAGTTGGCCAGGGCTTGGAGCAACCTGGGCTGGTGGAAGGTGTCCCTGCCTGTGGCAGGGGGTGGGACAGGATGGGCTTTAAGGTCCCTTCCAACCCAAACCTGTCTGTGTTCCTATTAATGCATAACCCCTAAACCCAACCTTTGCTGGGCTCAAGGTTCTGAGCAGCCAAACCACACCCAAGGTGGTGGGCATGTGGTGGGACCACCAAGTCAGTTCAGACCCAACAGACTGAGCTGCACACTGGGACCCCTGGCAGGAAGGAAGGGATTAAAGGGGTTTTCTAGGACATGGGATGCTTCGTGTGCACACTGCCCTTGACCATCTCTGTGTGACAGTTCCTAGTCTGGTGAGTTGTTGCTCGTGGGAAGCCTCTTTCCTGCTGCTGATGTTTTGGTATCTGTCTGGGCAGACGATTGCCACAGATTTGCAGGATTTCCTCCATAATGAGCCAGCTGCTCCTGAGAGCAGGAATGGTGCCAATCCACAGTGCTGTGCCCTCGCTTGCCCGTGGTTTGCAGGTTTTAGCTGAAGATGGGAGGTGAAGCCTTGCCCACCCTGCTCCCAGCACAGGGGACAGCCCCCCCCCCCTGCAGTTGTCCCTGCCCTGCTGCAACCCTGGCGTGGCTGGGACAGGAGCTACTCAGCTGGGAAGGAGCCAAATGATGTCCAAATCCCTGCCTGACTGCGAGGAACAGCCAGGGAAGTTGGCAGCTGGTGGATGGGCCTGGCTATGCCACGGTCTGGAAGCCATGGGGAGACATCTTGAAGCCTCCTGATCCAGGTGGGCACAATCCAGGATCCTCTGGGTATTTGGGGTTTTAATAGATGCTCTTCCTGTGCACTTACTAAGGCAGGGAGAGCTCTACCTCCGGGTCAGATCAGTGTCACTCTCCCCCTGCCCTGTGCTCCTCACGCCATCCAGCACCACACCCCGGGGATACGCTGTGGTGTCCATAGGGATGCTCCATGTGCACGGATGCAGGCCCCCAGCACGGTCCTAAGGAGAAGGATTCCCCCTCCCCATGCTCCCCCCAGCTCCTCAGACGCAGGCAGGACACGAGCACACCCAGCACCAGCTACAGCCCGTTTAATCTTGCAGCCTTGGCTCACAACTCAGCGTCGAGGATGCTCTTCCCACATGGCAACATCCCCTGGACCTCGTGTCCCCCCAGGCCACGTGCTGCACTCTGGACTCCTCCCCAGAGCTGGCTGTATCCCAACAGCATTTTAGGAGCCTCTGGAAGAAGAACCCAGCACGCCCTTGGGGGAAGTCAGGGGTGGAAAATGGTGCTGTGAACCCCCAGCCCTGCCTGGAGCATCCCCCCCTGCCCAGGGTGCAGGCAGGAGCCATCCCAGGGGACAGACACAGCTCCAGGTGTGGGGGACACAGGGGATGCACAGCCATAACCAGGGGTTTCGGGGGGCACCTCGCTCTGTTTTTGGGGAGCTGCCTGGTCCCTGTCCTGCACTGCTCTGCTCCCCTTGCACCAGGGCACCGTCCTGCCGGGGCGGTGGCAGGGCTGGTGGACACATCCTCAGGGGACAAGGGGACAGCATACCTCCCTTGTGTCCCCGAGGGACTCGCTCCCTCTGCCTAATAAGTGGTCCCAGTTGGGTCCTTCTGGCACTGGGGGCTGCCCGTGCCCCCGCCCTGGTCCCCGCGGGGGTTCCCAGACATCTCAGCCAGGGCCTCGGCCATGGCCCTGCGCACAGCCTCGGTCAGCTCGGGGACATCCTCGGGGCTCAGGCCCCGTGTTTCCACCTTGGGCAGGATTTGGATGGTGCACGTGCCTAGGAGAGAAGGGAAAGGCCAGGAATGCTGTTAAAGGAATCACCAGGAACCACCTTCACCATCAGCTGCCTCCCCACACCTCAGTGTCCCACGAAGAGACCCCCCTGTTGCCTCCTCACCACTGCCAGCCCTGCCTTCTGGCACGGGAATTCTTGTCCATCACTTACCAGAGGTGAACTTCTTCTCCTTGGAGCTGAAGAAGTCCCAGTATGGGGAGATTACAATGGGGAAGATGGGAACCTAAAGGACACGGAGGGTCAGGGGTGCCTTTCAAACAGACCCCCTCCCCAGGTGGGACTCCAGCTCCTGCGGTGCCCCAGGCCTCAGCAGGTCCCTGTCCCACCCTGGGTCCTGCACAGCACAGTGCCTGTCCCAGGGGACCAAAAAGACTTCCATCCCACTGTCCCAGAGTGCACCTCCACCCCGCTCCATCCAGAAGGGGCGGATCATGGAATCATTTAGGTTGGAAAAGACCTCCAAGACCATCGAGTCCAACCCTTGACTGAACATAAGGATATTCCCTCACCTGAGCCTGCACAGCCAGGTGGAAAGCCCCACGCTTGAAGGGCAGCATGGATTTGTTCTGGTTCCTGGTGCCTTCGGGGAAAACCCACACTCGGAGCTGCACAGGACAGGGAGAGACATGAGACTGGACCACAGCCAGGGCACCTCAGTCCTCCACTCACCCCCTTTAACCCCACGGGTGTTTCCCCCCCAGTCCCCCCCTCCTGCCAGCCCCCCTCACGTTTTCACGCCACATGGTCCGGGCTGTCTGGGAGATGACATCGATGGCAGCGTCTCGTCTGTGGCGGTCGATGAAGATGATGCCACTGAGCCAACAGGCCCAGCCCACAGTGCCCATGTACAACAGCTCCTTCTTGGCAATGGGCACACAGCGCTCAGGAATGACCTCTGCCATGCCTGGAGGAGGGATGGCAGAGCTGTTGAAATACCTTCCCAAACCCAGATTATCTGAGGCAGAAAAATCAGCTTGGAAAATCCTTCACTGCTTGGAAATTTAACTCCCAGGTTGGACAAAGCAGCTGAATACCAGGAACATATTTTGCAGCGCAGCCACCCCATCCCTGAGGGGTTGTCCTAGTTAGGACAGCTGAGACCAGTTCACCATGATATGGGTGTAACCCAAAACTGTGTATCCTATAGCCTTCCATGCCATTTCCCAGAAGCTGTTATCAATAGAGCATTTACACCCTCTGCCCAGAGCACCCCTGACTCCTCAGGCTATAAACTGGGCGTTAAGAGGCCTTCGAGATAGGAAGATGTTCCTGTCCTCACACCCTTCTATGGAATTCCCTGCTCTGAGGGAAGGACTGAGCATTCCTGCCTGAACTGGAGAATATATAAAATTGGAATTTTGGAACCTTTTTTACCACTCGTGGGATCCAGAGGAGGACTGCAATCACCACTCTCAACCAGACTGCAACCACCACTCTCAACCAGACTGCAATCACCACTCTCAACCAGACTGCAATCACCACTCTCAACCAGACTGCAATCATCACTCTTGACCAGACTGCACCAGCACTCTCACCAACAGGTTTTCCCCTCTCCTTTTCCTTTGGACTCAGGGGGCCCAAAGAACACCACTCTGTTCATGCCCCAGGGTGCTGGGTTATACATTTGGGTTTTGTGGGTTAAAATCAATTGTTTGTCTGTATAATTGTACTTATTGTATTATTTTATTAAATTGTTATTCTGATTTATAATCTCTCTTTTGAGTTCATTTCCCCTACTGGTTTACCTTTAAACCAGCACAGGGGTGATTACTGCAGAGAGGAACCCTCCAGAGGGGACAAATTAGATCAGTGGACAGACAGATTATTTAGTCATTTACACCCTAATATAGCACCAGGTTGGATTTTTTTTAAAACTTGATTTAAAGGACTTTAAGTCGTGCCCAATGGCTTCCAGAACAACCCAGCCCCGTGGCTGTGGTGACCTGGCATCATCTCCTGTTGTCCCAGCCCTCTCTCTGCAGCACACCCCTGTCCCACTAGCTCTTCTGGGCTAAGCCCACCACACTTCCCTGCACAAATCCTGGGATTTGTGACCTCACTGGGACCCCCCAAAGCAAGCCTGGACCCCCCCCCCTCCCCAGCACCCCAAAGGCTGCCCATGCAGGGATGGGCACACCCCCCTCTCCCTTGCACGTACCCACGAGGTCAAGGGAAGCTTGGTGGTTGCAAACTATCACATAGGGCTCCTTGCTGTTGAGGTGCTCTGTGCCCCTCACCTGCAGCTTGATGCCACAGAAGCGTTTGAGGGGCAGGATCGCGGCGCGCAGGAGCCTGTGGAGAGAACCCGTGTGGGGAGCGGATCTGCACAGCCCCCAGGGAGCAGGAGGGGCCAGCCTGGCCTTGGTCTGCTGCCCTGGTGGATCTGTGTTCAGTCTTGGGAATGCTTTGCTTTTCCCAGCAAAATTTATAGCCTGTATAACTCCTAACTAACCCTCTACCCACCCTCAAGGTGAGGCCTCGGTGTCTCAGTGGCAGAGTCTGCCCTGCAGTTGCTGAGGAAGGACAGGGACCAGCACAAGCTGGTGGGAGAGGAAAAACAGGCTTTGTGGTGTCCAGAGATGATGGGAAAGCAAAAAGAGAAGAGGAGGAGAGGAGGGAGAGGGAGGGAGGGAGAGGGGAAGAGGGAGAAGGAGGGGGAGAGAGGGGGAGAGAGAGAAGAGGGAGATGGGATGGAATGATCACATCCCAGTGAGGACAGCTGCCTCTGGCCAGGTGAGCTTGACCTGGAGGCTCCCCCAGGTGCCCAGCTGGATCTGTGTGTGGGCTGGAAGCCCAGAGCCCAGCACTGCACATACCCAAAGCCAGAGGAGCTGGACCACAACCAAGAGGTGCTGAGATGCAGATGGATGAGCACTGGAGAGGGACGTGCAGAGGGACAGTTTTGAGACAGACAGGTCCACAGAGATGTGGATGACTCCAGGGCAGCACTGCAGGGACCAAGATTTGTGATGCAGGTGGAGTAGGAGAGGGCAGGGAAGGGAAAACCAGACCAGATACATTCCTTAGAGGAAATCACAAATAGCTTCACCGGACCTGCAGTGTCGGGAAGAGGTGGAGGTTTCATTTGTGTGGCATCACACAGTGATGTCACATCCAGAGAGGGCTGGACAGGAAGGGTAAGATTGGGATGGCAGTGAAAGGTGATGCTCAGTATGAGAATAATGAGTGGAATGGAGGGAGGAGGGAGCAACAGGGATTACAGCACCACAATGGAGGTAAAAAGCTGGGCACTCTCCAATCCTCAGCACAAAGAGCACCTGTGCCAGGGTCCACATACCTGGCAGTGACTGCTCCCAGGGAGCCCATGGGGAACAGGGAAAGGGCTCAGCACCAGGTAGCGGGGAGAAGTCTGGGAGGAGAGAGTAGAGGCAGGCAGAGAGGGAGCGGGAGGCACGATGCTTAGAGGGTCCGTGGAACCAGAAGACCACCCAGCCCTGCAGGCTCAGAGATCCCTGTGTCTGCAGAGAAGCAGTGCCCCAAAGCCACGACTAATGACAGGAATGCACTCCCAGCCGGAGGCTTTGGGATTTGGAGGAGAGGGAGCTGGGCGTGCTGCTCCGGTGGAGTTTGGTGTTGGTGGGACAAGATAAGGCAGAGTGAGTCACCCCCGTGTCACTCGGGGATTCGCCCTGAGCCGGAAGCGTTGGCAGCGGGGCTGGAGGAGCCCTGGATGGGGTGTGTGTGTGTGTGTGTGTGTGTGTGTGTGTGTGTGTGCACAGCATTCCTGCACATTCCTTGGCCGTATTGATCACCATAACTGGTCTACTCTGGCCTCCAACCGGGAGGTCTGCAGACACACCATCTATAACGCAGCTGTTTCCTCTGAGAGCGCAGCAGGATCACCCTTGAGGAGAAAAGGCAACGCAGAAGGAATTGTGCCTTGCAGAATTTACCACCTAAGGAGTCCTTCTGCTGTGCCTTTTGTAACCAGACGTGTCTATCTCATATTGGCCTCTTTAGCCACCAGCGTGCTTGTGACAAACGTGGGGAGGGCCCTTCCCAAATCCTCGTTCACGAAGCCTGGCCTGATGATGATGATGATGATGATGATGTGTGCACAGCATTCCTGCACAGAAAGGACCAGGCAGAGAGGCTGCACGACACGCTGATAACATCAGACCTTTGACCACACTCCTGCTGAGGGCCACAGTCCATCAGCACAGTTCCGTGATGGCTCGAGCTCAGCGAATACCTCAAGCTCGGGTATTTTTCACTCTGACATAATTATATCTCTGCTGGTATGTTATCATGCCCAGGAATCCAGCAACGGGATTGCAACACCCTTAGAAGCAACCAGATCTTCCTCTCGTGTTGCACAGCGACGTTATCTCGGCTGCCACCACCCCTGAGCACAGTGACAGCATGAGGACACAACTCATCGGGGCATGGCTGTGTCACTCCTGGCAGCTGATGGCACCGAGACACCCCAAAACCACAGAACCATCGAATGGTTTGGGCTGGAAGGAGCCTTAAAAACCAGCCATTGCCACCCTCTGCCATGGGCAGGGACACCTTCCACCAGCCCAGGTTGCTCCAAGCCCCGTCCAACCTGGCCTTGGACACTTCCAGGGCTGGGGCAGCCACAGCTTCTCTGGGCAACCTGTGCCAGGGCCTCACCAGCCTTTGCCAAAGCATCATCCCTGAGGTTCCCACAGGGCAAGACCTGGCTGCAGTGCCAGGGAGACAGCGCTGGATGTGTGTTTGCACCCTGCTAACGACGGTACCTCCAGCCTTTGCCAACCCCCCCTGTCACCCACCCAACTGATGACCCCAGTGTTGCCATCAAAAATGATCTGATTTACTTTCCTTCTTGCCCCAGGGACCTCAAGTCCCAGTCCAGCTGACCACCTCCATCGTGGTGTAACCCTCCCTGGGCATGGCCAGCACCTCTCCACCACCCCACAAGGTGCAGAGACACCTTCACTGCTAGATGGACACGACCACAGCCCTCGCCACAGCCCCAGGGCCCAACCACCAGCTGTGACGCAGCTCCGGGTACAGCCAGGGCAGGAGAGAGTGTGTCCACGAAACCACAGGAGCTCCTCCACCTCAGCCAAGCCCAGCCATCTCCACACCATCTCCACACTCCCAAGGCCGTACTCACTTCATGTTCTCCACGGAGCGTCCCCGAAGAGCCGCGAAGGGGGACAGGATGGTGGCCATGGCCACGAGCCAGCAGTGGAAAAAGGCCACCTTGCAGAAGTAGTGGAAGGTGGTGTTGTACCTGTACAGCAGCAGCCCTGCCAAGGGCAGGAGCAGCAGCAGCCCATGGAGCAGGACCACCTCCATGGTGCTGCCCCTGGCCAGAGGGTGCTGGGGAGCTCAGTCCTCGTCCCCGGGAGGAGGGCGAGTGGCGCCGGGGACGCCGAGGAGCGTGGCAGGTGACTCAGGTGTCTCAGTGTGTGGGTGTTTGGGGCTGGTCCAGGGGAAGGTACTGTGTGTATCTCACCCTGTGCACAGGCCTGGGGATGGACCAGCTCCCATGGGATGCAGGGCACCCCACCGAGGGTGGAGAGTGGAGTGAGTCAGCGCCGGGACCCTGAGTCACCCCCGGTGTCACCCTGGGTAAGTGCCCTCCCGGGCTATCAAAAGCCATTGCGGTGACTCAAAATTGATGTGATCAGATCTGTCACCCACAAAAGTGTCCATGATCTGGGAATCTCTCCTGTCCAACCCTGGGAAAGGGGGTCTCAGCTGGTAGGGACAGCAAGAGCTGGTCCTGGTCCATGCCCATCACCCCAGCAAGGCCTGTCACAGTTACCTGCTGGCACCTGCTGATCCCCAAACCTCACCCTGCAGAGTATCAGATTATTGGAAGATACCTCCCCAACTGGGACAACATCAGGCACGTGGTGCCAGTGCTTCCCACCTCTCTTCTTCCCCCAGTTTGGGAAGAGGAGCCCCTGGGCCCTTTCCCTCCCATCTGCCACCAATGGCCCAGCAATGCCTCAGAGGGCTGAGCTCTGCTGCCCCCTGCTCCCACCCCAGGCTGGAGGAGATGCCAGCCCTTGCCCAGAGGAGATGCCAGCCCTCGCCCCAGTTGGCAGCCAGGGGCTGCATTGCATTGGATGTGTTCACAGGTACAATTAGCACCACAGGGCTGTAATTAGCCTCTCCTTCTGCTCTCTTGCCCTCGCACTGGGCACACAGGATCCAGGCCAGCTCTGGGCTGCCCTGTGGAAACTCCAGTCTTGCTTTCAGAAATCAAGTGCTTGTCACTGCTCAGATAACTGTGGCCTGGTCTCAGCCACCAGCAGCACCTCCCAGCCTGGTGGGTCCATGGCCCAAACCACAGAACCATAAAATCACAGAACCACAGGATGGTTTGGGTCGGAAGGGACTTTAAAAGTCATCTCAGTCCAACCTCCTGCCATGGACAGGGACACCTTCCACTAGCCCAAGTTGCAACTGGAGAGTGCCCCAGTTTGACCAGTGACCCAGAGAGGGCCACCATGGTGTTGCAATCCCCATTGCTTCACCCTCCCATTTCTCTCATTATTCTCATATTAAAGCTAAGACTGGGTCGTGTCTTGAGCCCACCCTTCCTGTCCACCCCATTCCAGGTGACTCCTCACCTCCTTCTTCTCTTTTTGTCTCTGTCTGGAAACCTCTGTGCACCAGCCTGGTTTCCCACCAAACTCAGCTTTGCTTTTGGATGTCTCCCTTCCCTTCTGCTCTGCCCAGCCAGTCCTGCCACCTCCCAGAGGGTTCCCAGCTGGAGGAGTTGGGCTTTCATGCTGCAACCCAACGTGACCCTCCTGCTCCACATTTGGGGGCTTCTCGTCCAGCTTCAGCAGGAGCCAGGCTGGGGAAGATCTGCCTGTCCCAGAGCACAGGGAGGATAAAGTCTCCCTTCCACCCCAGAGGAGGGGCAGGGCAATCCTCGTGCCCAGTGGGGGCACCAGGAGGGGATTTAAGGTGCAGCTGCTCTTCTGCATCCTCTGAGCTCCAGAGGACCACCAGCCCTGAGGTCTCCTGCCAGGAACTCTTCTCTTGGGGATGGTGTCAGAAGCAGGGCTGTCACCCCAAAGTGGGGTTGGGGAGGTAGCAGAGGCAGGGAACATCTTCCTGCACCCAAAACACATCTCTCCCCACTTCCTCCAGCTTCCTGGTGAGCAGAGGGGACACTGAACCCTGGGAAACTCCATGATCTCCCTTTTTCAGGCTTTCCCACCACGAGTGAGCTGCAGGGCAGATCCAACTCTCCCTGCACTCACAAAATGTTCTGAGTTGGAATATGATCCACAAGGATCATCGAGTCCAACTTTTAACACTGCACAGGACATTCCCAAGAGTCACACCAGGAACATCCCACTCTGCTTCCCATCTCCAACCCCCAGCACCCCCCCACACCACACCAGCACCCACACCAGGCACTGATTTATCCCCCCTGGGTACAAGAGGCTCTGCACCCCCCTCACCCTCCAGCCTCGAGGGAGCCCCACATTCAGGCACAAAGCCATCAGCCCATGTAATTACAGATGCTTAATTAGTGACAGCAGGGGCTTTCTTAACAAAGCAAATTAATTACAGGCAATGTGCTGCATTGAGATCTGAAGGGACCAATGAAGACTGGGACCATCTGGGCTGGGAACATCTCCCCTCTCCCCACCCACCAGGACACAGCACAGCCCGTGCAGTCCTCATGGATGCAGAGATTGGGATCAGGATGTCACCTGGGGTTGGGTGACAGGCTTTGTGACACCCCTGCCTCGAGGTGGCTCAGGGGGAGGAAACCACCCCAAACTGATGGGTATCCTGAAGCACCCATCCAGGATCTTCTGGGATCACAGGCTGGGATGTGCCAGAGGAACCACGTTGGGAAGCACGGAGCTCACAGCCTCTCCTGGAGCTCACAGCCTCTCCTCCAGCACGCTGTAGTACTCTGTGGGGAAAGGGAGGAGCTGGAGGATGTGCAAGGGATGTCCCGCCCTGGGATCGGATGGATACAGGGAGCAGGGAGGGCTCAGCCTCGGTGGGGGCTGCCTGGCTGATCAAAGCCAGGGAAGATGTTCCTCGTTGAGGGACATGGGGAGAACGTGTCCTTACCTGCTGCTGGCGGGACGTTGGGTCCCACTGTCCCCGTGGCACTGGGGGGTGGAGGAGGGGGCACTGCACTGCTGGAGGGGAGCAAGGACAAGTGAATGTTGCATTGATGTTCCCCCTCGTGTCCCAGCTTGGGCTGGAAGTCCTGTTCCACCGGGGACCAGGCGGCATAAAGCCCCCCCTCGTTACTCACCCCTCATCCTCAGCCAACGAGCCCAGGAACCGCACGGCCCCCGGACCCCGATCCCGCCCCGGGTCCAGCCACGGCGGGACGGGAACAGGACCCGGGTAGGGGATGTAGTGATGGTGGAAAACCACTGCCTCCTCCTCCTCCTCCTCCTCCTCAGTCTGCAAAGGCATCGCCAGCGCCTGTGGGGAAGAACAAAAGGCAGGGCCGTGCCAGCTCCTCGTGCCCCTGGGCCCCTGCTCCCGCAGCACCAGCCAGGCAGTTCCCACGGAGCCACGCTTGGCTGCTCCCAGGGTCCAGCTGGGTGGGCTCGGCCCCCCACAAAGCCCCACGGTCAGCCAGCGTGGGGACCCGGCTGCTGGGGACGGGGGGGTGGCAGCCCCACAGATGGGACCTCAAAATGCTGCTGGAAGAGCCCTTTTGATCCAGCCACAGCAGGGTCCAGTCTGGGCCAGCACTGCACTGGCGGGCACTGGGAGGGCAGGGAGGGGGTGGATGCCTAGAGGTGCCAGCTGGCAGCGAGCACAGCAGCTGCCCAGAGCCCAGCTCCCACCCCTGTCCAGAAAGCACCATTGTTTCCCCCCGAGGAGATGAAATGTTTAATGTGATTTTAGTTCGAGGCGAACTTTAAAATGACAGCCCTTGCAGAGCCATCCTTGCCTGCTGAGCACACAGGGAGGGTCCTGGCTCTTCCCAGCTGGGCTAAAACCACCTCCCAGCAGCCTGGATGTGACCTGTGCTGGCAGAGCTGGGGGTCAAACCAGCACAGAGAGCTCCAAAACCACAGGGGGCTGCAGAGCCTGCACTGAGCTGGGCTGAGACCACCCAGCTTCTGCACCCGGAGGAGTCCCATGCTGTGCCAGAGTGGGACATGGTCATTCCGTTCTCCTGAGCAGCCCTGGAAAGGTCCCTTTGCCCACCTCTTTGCCCCCTTGGTCCCTTTGCCCATCCAGCACCCCTGGCCCCTACCTGGGCAGTGGCTGGGCCAAAGCCGAAGGACGTCAGTGCCGACACAGCCAGGCTGTTCATCAGCACCTGGTGCATTTGGGAGCTTTGAATCATCATCAACTCGATTAAATCTGCCAGAATGTGGAGGGTTCTGCGTCAGAGAGGGATCAGAGCAAGGGCAGGAGAAGCACAGCCATGGGATGGGGCGGCACCGAGGCTCATCCTCGTTCCCAAGCAGCGGGAGCGAAGCCAGACTTCCCCCGCCCCAATCTGGAAGGCCCACGCGGCATTTAAAAATTCTTTTGCTCAGATGAAGCTTCAAAATAGCCATATTTCAGCCTTTTCTTCTTTGCAAATGTGATTAAACATCTGGTCTGGCTCGCTGGAGGCTGATTAGTGGTGCTGGAGGCATCAGACTTTCCACCCGCTCGGAGGAGAACTGCTCCGGCTCTGGCAGCGAGCCATGGCTTGGCAAAGCCTCTGCCTTGGCACCAGCTGGCAGAGCTGGTGTCCTTGGGGTGGCAGGGCATGGGAGCACACCCAGGTCAGCTCTGCTTTGTGCCATGTCACACACAGGATGCTCAGAAACCCCCGGGGGAGGCAGGAGCTGGGGTGGGACCACGGGGATGATCCCCAGGGCCCCCATCTCCATTCCTGGGAGCTGGGTCTGGGAGAAGAGCAGGTTGGGGGTGTTTGGGGCCTCCCCAGCCCCTGCCTGGCTCCACACCAGGATCTGGGACCCAGAGCAGCCGTGCATGTGCAGATCAGCATCCCAGTCCCCTTGGCTGAGTTTCCCCTTGGCTGAGGCCAGTCCGACTGCAGAGGACACACACAGTCTGGGTCTGCATCCCCAACAGAACATACCCATTTGATGCAGGTGGGAAATTCCCCTGGAAAATACCTGTGAAGCTGCCAGAGGGGCTCCCCCTGAGATCCTGCTGGCTTTGTGCACGAGACCTGCCCAGAGAAGCTGTGGCTGCCCCATCCCTGGAAGTCTGGACAGGGCTCAGAGCAACCTGATCTGGTGGAAGGTGTCTCTGCCCATGGCAGAGGGTTGGAACTGGATGAGCTTCAAGGTGCCTTCCAAACCAAACCATTCTGGAATTCCATGATTCCGTGACCTGTGAGTCCCTGTTAGTTGGAGTCTGGGTAAAAAAAAGGGTTTGGGCATCCCTGTGCCCCACGTGCCAGATCCCCAAATGCTTCAGAACTGCAGGGATGGGCTCCCAGGACACCCATGAGGTGAGTGGCCCTTCAGCAAGGAGCATCCCAGCACAGCCTGGGAGGTGGCCAGAGCTGGAGCTGGGAGGAAGGAGTGGGCCAGTAGCCAGGCATTGAACCAGGGGGGAAGGACATGAAGTTCTGGCAGCTCTGAATGGATCCCACCCACGCCCAGGGCTCTGAGGGGCTGGGCTGGGTCTCTGTTTTCTTTCCACACCAATTTTCAGCATCATCTTTCCTCCATGGATTTTTAAGGACAATTCAACCTTCCTCCTCCCCACAACGCTGCACAGCTTTGTCCACAGCCTGTACTCAGAGCCCACAAGCCCCCCTGTCTCTGCTCCCCCAGCCCTGGGTGGCACAAGGTTGGGAGAAATCCCTACAGACAGTTGCACATCCTGCCTGCACATCCCACGGGCTGCCACATGTCCCAGCTTGTTCCCATTTGGTCCCATCTCACATGGCCATGGAGCCCCTGTCACCCTGGCTGTCCCTGGTGATGCTACCCATGCCCTCATGAAATGGGGCTTTGGACAAAAGAAGCAGATGAATTAAAAACAAACAACAAAACTCAAACCAAACCAAAACCAAAAACCCAAACCCCAAACAAACAAACAAACAAAACCCCAAAGCCCCAAAAATGTTCCCTGGGAGCACCCCTGGTGTGGCCAAAGCCAGCCCAGACTTCAAGTTTGGTAAAACCCCCCAAAAGCCCCTCCCATGGGGCCAAGCAGCCGTCCAAGGGTGGTGTGGCTGTTCCTGAGAGGCTACAGAGGGTGGGCACAGCCCCCCTGCCTGCCCCGCGCCCAGAAAAGGCTGGAAAAAGAGAAGAGGATGAAGCTAAGCTGGGTTTGGCGCTGACCTCTGCGACCTCTCCCATCACGCACCTCCCCGGACGGGCGGGGGTCCCGCGGGGGGGGCCAGGACAGCCCCGGGCCCTGGAAGCTGCTGGAGGATCATCACGGGCTGCTGGGACACCGGCACGGCTCCCTGGGGACATCGCAGGGATCGGAGCTGGAAGGGAGGAGGGGAAGGAAAACCCCAGGAATGTCCGCTCCGGGTTTAACTGAGTGCCCTGTCAGTGGGGCAGCCGGGGAGGAGACGGGACAGGGGCTGGTGGGAGGGAGCGGAGGGGACAGGAGCAGGGAGCAGGGAGCAGGGAGCAGGGAGGGGAGCTGCTCCCGGGGGGAAGGGGGTGGGAGCGTCGGAGGAGGGGGTCCCTTCCTCTGACCCCCGTCTTTCCAGGGGCGCAGCCCTGCAAACGTGGGTGAACGGCACCCCTGGAGAGTCCCCACCTTTGGGGACACGTCCCTGCGCAGGGATGGCCTTCCCGGCTCTAAAGGGAGCAGGGAGGCGTTTTGTACCGAGCAGCTTTGCTGCCCCACAGCCCTCAGTGCCCCCCCAAAATCCCGACCCCAGCCCCTCTCTCCTCCCGCCTCATTCCATTTCCCACCCCCTATCCCGTAAATCCAGAGGCAGAACTGCTCTCCGGGGCTTACGCTGTGTGGGATGAAGTAGGTCCCTGCTGGGGGGTCCCCCCGGGCCCCGTGAGGGTCTCCTGCTGCCCCCCTTTCCATGGCTCAGGCGATGGGGGGGGCGGATCCGCAGCAGGAGCCGGGATCGTTGCCACGGCTGCTGGGGAGAAACAAACCCGGAGGCTTGGCCGGGCAAGGAATGTCCCCGGGCTGGTTTTCCCCGCAGCGTATCCCCAGGAAAGGTCCTTTCCAGCGCTGGCAAAAGCACCCGGAGGGGCCGGGAGGCACCTGCAGCTTGTCCCCGTGGGGCTGAGCCGTGTCCCTGACCCTGGGGGAGCCCCGGGAGGGGAGAGCAAACCCGGCGAGGTGTTTCTGCAGGGAATGGTGGGAGATGGGTCTGGCTGAGTCTGGGGCAGGTGTGGGTGTCAGAATGGGGTTGGCTCTTCCAGGATGTGCAGTGCCTGCTGTCTGATGGAGACACCCCTGCCCGTCTGTCTCTGTTGGTGGAGGGAGAAGATCCTTCCAAGCCACGGGATGTCCCCTCATAGGTCCTCAGAAACATCCCCCTGTGCACAACCAAGGCACAGTGGCCCAGGATGTCCCTCAGCCTCAGTCTGGTCCCCAAGATGTCCATGGCACAGTTCCAGGTGCCCTGGGTCTGTCTCCCAACCTTCTGAACCACTCCCCCAGGGATGCAATGACCAACCAGCACATCCCCCCATGGAAATCCCAGCAAGGCCTGGCGTGAGCACAAACCAGTGGCACCAGAGCATGGCTCCAGCCTGCTGCTCTCCCCTGCCACCAGTCCCTCCCAGGATCCTGCCAGGGGGATTTGTGTCCAGCAGACCACAACCAGCTCAGGTTTTCCATTTATCTCCCCTTTGCAGAGAGCTCTGCATGTCCCAGCTCATCCCAGGGAAACGCTGTGGCTGGGAATGGTGGGTCTGTGGGAAATATTTAATCCCCAGCAAACCCTTTGCAGTGAAAAACCACTTTTCCCCCTCCAAGAGCCCAGCTGATCCCAACCCCGCCGGCCTCAGGTATCTCTCCCCCACCTCCACCAGCTGCATTTCCGTGGCTGCCCCTCTGGGGGATTATTTCCATGGATATTGCATCCAAAATCTGCCCTGCACCAGGAGCGCAGATCTGGGAACTTTTCCCGGGAACTCAGCCTGCAGCCAGCCCTGCTCAGCAAGCAGGGACAGATCTCTCCAAAAACTCTTGTTCTGCCCCAGAATGGCACCGAGACCCCCCAAGTGCCAGGGGAGGAGCTCTCCAAGGGCCTCAGCCCCCAACCATTGGCTCCAGTCGGGCTATTTTCTGCTTGATTAGATTTTTCTCTGTGTTCCTAATTTTTCCAAACCCCTCTGGATTGTTTTTCTGCCTTTTGTTCTAACTCCCAAATTCCAATTATTTGCACATTTAATTACTGTGCTGATTCCTCCTCGTTTCTGGCAGAGCCTGATGAGCAGAGCCCGACTGTCAGTCCTGCTCTTATCTGGGGGAGGGATTCAAGCACCAGGATGAGGGGAGAGGGTCTAAGGAAACCTTGTGCCAGAGGGGGACGTGAGGGGTGGCAGGAGACCTGCTTGGAATGTCCTCAGCCCTCCCATGGCAGTCTGAGCCCCTCTGGAAGTGTTATGGTCTGCCCTCCTGCATGGGAGAGGAGAAGGGGAAGGGAGAAGGAGAAGGAGAGGGAAAGAGAAGGAAAGAGAAGGAAGGAGAAGGGAAGGAGAAGAGAAGGAAGGAAGGAGAAAGAGAAAGAGAGAGAAAGAGAAAAAGAGACAAAGAAAGAGAGAAAGAGAAAAAGAGAGAGAAAGAGAGAGAAAGAGAAAGAAGAAAGAGAAAGAGAGGAAGAAATGAAGAAAGAAAAAGAAAGAAACAGAAAGAAAGAAAGAGAAAAGAAAGACAAAGAAAGAAAAGAAAGAAAAAAGAAAGAAAGAAGAAAAGAAAAAAGAAAGAAAAGAAGGAAGAAAGAAAAAGAAAGAAAAGAAGGAAGGATGAGCAGGAGGATCAACAGCCAGATGGGTGCTGAGTGCCATGATAGGCACTGGCCAGGAAAGCAGAGTCTGGGCACAGAGAAATGCAAGTGTGAGGCCTGTGGGCTGGGGACAAAGGCAACTGTGGCTGTGCTGTCCCCAGGACACTGCCCAGAGACACCTTTTATAGGCAGAAATGATCCTCCAGCTGGAGGTACCAGCTCTTCTCACCAAGGAGGGGGGGTGAGGACCCTCATGAGCCAACTCACCTACACTGGGGAGAGGTGACAGCCCAGGGTCAGTTTATATTCCCCACCTTGGAGTGTTTGGTGATGGCACATCAGCCATCCACATGTACATCCTAGGAAAGCAGGGCCCAGGAGGGATCAGAGGAGTTTACAGTTCTGGTGGGGATGGACCCCCCCGTCCCCAGTAAGAGCCACCTTGCCAAACCCAACTCCCAGGATGAGACTTGTGCCAAGAGACACCCTGAGGGTGCTCAGCAGATGATTTTGTTGGCAGCCCTCCTTTTGGAAGCTCTCGAGCCCTTCTCTTCCTGTAACTCTGGGATTCCTTGTTCTGGAAACCCTCACCCTCAAACCCAGAACTGGGATCTCAGCCCTGTGCCCTGGTTAGGCAGAGCTTGAGTTCCATCACAAGCTTTGCTTTGGACCAGGAATTTTGCCTTTCAGGACCAAGGCAGTGGCCCTGAAACAGGGTCAGGCTCCTGGGGACCAGGAGGGACAGGGACCCTCTGCCAACCCCTTGGCCATGAACGTCTGCACCGTGTGGGTGCTGCACCAGGCACCTGGAGCAGGGACAGCGGGGTCCAGCCCCTCCGTGCTCTCTCTGCACGGATCTCTGCTGGCAGAGCAAGCAGGAGACACTGAGCATGGACAAACTTTGCCAAATTAGCCAAGCAGGGGCAGCCAGGGCACGGGAGCCAGTCATCAGGCCGGGCTCAGCAGGATGGTGATGCATCGAGCCGGGATGAGCTGTGCTCTGATACGGCCCGGCAGCAATGACACCCTGAGCTGCCCTCGATAACACATCCCTTGTGCCACTTCCCTTCCCTGGAAACAAACTGGAGCCAGAGAGATTCCCAAAATGAGGAAACACCGGCAGGAGTCAGCAGCCTTGCCTAAGACTCGTGGAGGATGAAGTAAACACCGCTGAGGCAACACATCCCCCTGTAATCCCTGCTGGCTCCAGAGGGGGATCAGAAACCAGTCCAAAACCAGTTTGTCATTGCACACCAGGACAAGCCCAGGATGTGGAGTGGCAGTTTGGCAGCTGTCCCCCATCACACTGTCACTCACAGCCACTTGGGCACACATCTCTGGAGATGCTCTGTGGGTCCAGGACTGTGAGTGAGTTTAAGCTTCTCATTTTGAAAGGTAACTACAAAAAATACCACTTTCCTTTTCTAGGAGATCTCATGCTGCTGGTACTTTGAGACCCATCATCCAGTCGCTGTGGTCTCCTCGTCATCCAAATCACCCCTCACAGACCCTTTCCTGCCACAGAGCCCAAAACCAGGGAAGAGGTTGTTGGTGCAGGGTGGGGACACCCTACTTTGCTGCAAGGTGGGATGGAGGCAACACAACACGATTAGTAATTTCCAGCCCTTGGTAAATGAGCATTTGGCACTTGCAAAAAAAGATTCTTGTCAGTGACTTCCTTTGCTTTGGAAACGGCTGAGTCATCCCTAATTCCCGACACACACCAGCAGTGATTCCAGTGCTGGAGGAGGATTAATGGGAGCACCCGTGGCTGGAGGGCAGCCTCTGGGGAGATTCCCTGGGGATTTGGCAGGGACACAGTTGCTGCCGTGTGCCACCCACAGCCCTCCATGGCTGTGCTGCCACACCAAAGCCACGTGCCCGAGGCAAATCCTCCCATCCTGTCCCCTCTGGCCACTCACCACCATCCCCCTCACCGTCATATGGGTGGATACAACCACCCTATATGGGAGCACCGTGTGCTGGTCCAGTTGGGGATCCCAGAGGGGGCTGCAGGGTCCTGGGCTGGCCAGGATTTGCAATCAAGTGAGTTCATCCTTGTTTATTTTCCACTTGCTGCTGCAAAAGGGAACAATGGCCCTAAAACCGGCAGGGCTGGGCAGGTCACCCCGCCCCAGGAAGGAGGTCAAGCCACCATTGTCTTGCCCCAGCTCTTCCTCGCTGGAGGAAGGGCAGGAGCAGCTCAGGAAGGTGTGGGTGGTTGGGCATGACCTGAGGGATCCCCATGGCTCTCCACTGGACAAATGCTTCCTGGGGAAAGGGGACAGCAATGCACATCCCACCGAGAGGTTTTGCCAACCTCCCCTGGCCTTTCCCTCCACAGGGACCAGACCTGCCACTCCAAAACCGGGGACACTCCCTCCAGTCCATTTGCCACCAGGTGGCACCAAATTAAGTGGCCTTGTGGGGACACATTGGGTCACCCCCAAACCAGACCCCATCCCCCGTCACTCTCTGCCCAAGCCCGTGGGGCGAAGCCAACTGGGGCACAGGGTTATTTGCAGCAGGGGTTTTGTTTAATTTGGTTCTCGGCACCCCTCCCACGTGTTCATATGCTTTGGAAAAGTAAATGGTTACGTTTGGGTGTTTACATTCTAGCGGAACCATTAGATGCTAATGAGCCTGGGCGGGCCGGCAGCCTTTTGTGTCAACTTAACCGCGGGCTGAGAGCAGAGTGGGCCACTCCTAATCATGGCAAACGAGGCCTTTGAAATGTTAAGGGCCCCGTTCTTTTATCTGCATTTTTTTTAGGGTTATTTAATTTGCATGGCAAACCCTGTTGAGGTCTTTGAATGGCAGAGCAACAGCAGCGTTGGTTCATTGGCTTCGTGTCTCCCGACGGAGGGAGCAGTTATTGGGAGCTGCTGCCTCCTTAAGAAATGGTAATGATGTTGCATTACTAAAATTAGCAGCAGAAGTGGTTCTCCCTCCTCCCACCCCAGTACTAAGTGCAGTGAAGCCCCCCCAGCCCTCTGCCCTTCAGCACTGAGGCCGAAGGGGCATTTTCAGTCCCTTCTTTAACCATCACCCTCACCCGAGTTGTGTCAGTGAGGAGGATTTTGGGTGGTCTAGGGGTGCAAGGTTGGTTCTTTATTCCCAAGACATTATCACAGTGTCTTCCCT